CAAAGGGAGTATTTGTATCTACACTTGATTGGAGCAAAATAATTATAATACATTCTTAAAAAGTAATTTTATCTTCACCACGCTTGTGTCATTAATTATAATAACTTCCCAACCTACAACAGCAGAAGGGAGAACGCCAGGAGTGGCGTTATTTTCTCACTCATATTTCACACCTTGCACAATAGGGAGATGATATGTTATTATTGCGTTTCACTTTGATAATTCTCACAGATATTAAGTACTTTAACTTCCAAGTTTTGATCTTATCTTTTCCATCATCTTTCCTATTCAAAAACAATCAGAGTATTATTGCTTTCTAGTTTAATTGAACGTGGCAATGCTACTTGTATAAAAAACAAGTTCTAAAAATAATATGAATTCTATTGAGTGAAGAGACTTTGCAATATCTTATAAATGTTTCGCTACAATTATACACAACTATCATTTATATCATCAGAGCCGTGGATTTTCAAATTGTAACGAAAACAGCTTTTGTATTTAATCACTATGAACTAAACGTGCACTTCTCGAACATAAAAGTATTCTTCTGGAGCCCTCTTTAGAGCAAGGACACAGGGAGGAGGAGTAATAGTAACAGTTACATAATAAAAAATAATCGTTACATTAATTTGTTATTACTCAAATACACTTATTTTTGTTTTTATTCCTATTGTAAATACTGATTCTGATGTCTGGTTTCGGAACGGGAGGGTGTGATGATTCCACCTCCGATTTTCATTGTTCCAGTAATACTAAATTTATAATGATCAATAAACATAATTAAGAGTGGTAACCATTCCAAATTGCTGAGAGAGAGAGAGAGAGAGAGAGAGAGAGAGAGAGAGAGAGAGATCTATATTCTAGCGGAGATCGAGTTCAGCTGATATATAAATTGAACTAAGCTCATTTTAAGAACTTTTTGGTCGGATGAAATGAAGTTCTGCTTCAAACTCACTCTTCCGTAGATAAGAGGGAAGAAACTACACAGGAATTCTGGTGGACAGAAGAGTAGACGGTAGCCAAATTGAAGATCGAATAAGAGCAGGATGTGTGGACGCTATAGATCATAATGTAATCGGATTCATCTGTAGCAGTGTTGTGTTATGCAGACATGTAAACGTTCATATTGTCTTAAAGACAGTATAGGGTGAACAAATAAATAGAAAATAATAAATAAATACACGGAAAAATTCTGTAACACATTACATTTTCTCGATACCTCAAATTGAGTGTCAAACACTACCCCTTGATCTTTGTCCATTTCATTTAAAGCTGTTTTTTGCTTATTTTTTTTTTCTAACAGAATGGTTACTAGATGACAATAAAGATATTGAGCTGTGTCGAATGGAGAAAGTAAACTTTTCGACAAACAGAAGCGTGAAAAAAGGAAGCGAGCTTTCACCTATACTTTTTGTTTGACTAAGATTTAGTAGAATACTTGAAAGCGAAATCACTAAAGCAGGAGAAAATATCGTCTGTTTATTGCGAAAATTCACCAAATACATTTTTTATATAGTTTAACTTTTGTAACTCTACTTTATTAATCGATACACTGCAAGGGCACGCAATTGAAACAAAAAAAACCTTTTGAACATGAAAAATATTTTAAATAAACGAACAATTTTTCATGATTTCATAAAGGAAAAATTGTTTAAAGTTCTTAATTAGTTGCAATAAACCGACTAAGTTCTTTTCCAAGTCAATGGCCTAGTAATTTAAGTACTTAATTAAGTTAGATTTAATAGAACATATAATTACACATATTATAACCTTTCTTGCATGGAGGAAATGTGGAAAGAGAGCTGCCCGCCTCGGGCCTCACTCACTAAGATGGCCCCACAACAGGGATTTTTTTAATAATCATTATCTAAATAGGCAAAGCTAAAATAGTTCAGCATATTTTTCTCCTCTGTTTCTCAACCATTTCTTTTTTTTTTTTTTTTTTTTTTTTTTTGTATGTTAAGTAAGCTACGACCTTTATTGTTACTAATAAAATATTTTGTAAACAGCGTATATAAATAAAAATGTAAATGTTAGTTTGTCCAAAACCGCTTATCTTCGCCAATTGCTTCAAAATTTTGACACAGCATTGCAATAAAATTCAGGAGTGTTTTTATAAACATTCCATTGCCATCCGGCCTTTTGTTTCTAAATCGCAACCAAAAAATGTGTTTCGTTGCAGACTGTAGAGCAAAAACTACTTTAACGATTTTAATTAAACTTGTCTAAAGCACTCTCTTGAAAACCATTTATTTTATCTAAAAAGCATTCTTCACCAAAAAGGTGTTGAAAAAAAGAGTTACGATGGATTCAGAATTTTATTTGCGAATAACTAAAAAAGTATACAATAGTTGGTTCATTATTCCCATGATTATTTGAATGATTCCTGAATTCCCTGCAAAATGAAAAAATCGAAGTTGAGATTTACTATACGAATGACTCAAAAATTACACAAATGGAACTGAACAGTTTTCTATTGTGAGTAGATATAAACTTATGT